GGCCCCAGAAACTAAATTACCCAAACACAGCTCGTTGGGGGATGTGGCTCTGAGGAGGGGAATGGTGGATGCCTCAACCACAGTGCTGGGCGGCAAGCCCTGACCTGGCTAGCCCCTGCGGGTGGCAGAGCTGATCCCCGGGACAGTCTGCTCTGCTCACCCACAGTGACCTTTATTTTCAGGGCAGCCAGCCAGCCGGGTGGTGGGTAGCGGTGGGAGCCTGACTATAGAAGAAGGAATCTGCGTTTTCTCAAAGCCCCAGTGTTGGGCACACCCACAGAGGACTAATTAAGCTCATGAGGACCATGGAAAAGGGATGGGGCAGGGCCACCGGGGCCTGGCCCCAAGGAGGGCTCTACAATCATCAGAAGTCTGAGTCTGGCATTTGCGGAGGGAGAAACTGAGACCGTCAAGGGCAGTGGCCCACACTCAGGCCGGGATGCAGTGTGGAAAAGGTGCAGAGTTTCACCTCCCAGGGCCCGCTGGAGAAGTGACCCCTTGCTGGCGGACCTCCTCTAGGGAAATCACACAAAGTTCCCTCCTGCGCTCTTGTGTCCTGTCCCCCAATGTCAACACACACATTGATCCACCTTTCAACACTCCCTAACCCAGCCGGGACACCTGGGCCTCTTTCCCACCCAGCTGGTGTGTCACCACAACTGGCCCCTCCTCATTCCCTCCTGAGCCCCAGGGCCCTCTCTTGTCCCCTGCACAGCCCAGTGCAGTTCCTCTCCTGCCCCCTGCACACAGTGCAGTTCCTCTCCCTCCACTCTACCGGCCCTGGCACCTCCCCACCCTAACCCTTGGTCAGACATGCACTCACTTGCTGAGCGCTCATGCTGCAGCCTATGACCGCCCCCCCCCTCCCCAGGTGCATATCTGAGTTATATATGTGCCTTTGGCTCCCTTGAACGCCTGCACCTGGGTGCCCATCCGCAACCTGGACCCCTCCCACACACCTAGGTTTGCGCACCTGTAACACGGCACTTCACTTGAGTGTCTGCACATGCACACCTGGGCCATATTCGCGACAGTGCCCACACCTCAACGGACACCTGTATTCTCAGGAGTACACCTAGGTCTCCTCAAATGCATCTGTAGCCCAGAGTACACTCCTGTGTCCCATACACACACATCTGCGGCCCGGCAGGCTCGCACCCGCTCAGCGCACCACCTTCCGAGTTACCCTCACGCTCTCCCTCCGGCGCCCTGGGCTGGTCCCCCGCACTCCCACTGCCTGGGCGTACCTGGATGTTGCGCTTGCGCTCGCAGGCCGGCCCGGTGCCCTGCACCACGCTGTCGAGTACTGCCACCACGTCGGGTGCTGGCTCCACGAAACAGGCAGTGCGCGCGGCGCGGATGGCAGCCTGCACGTCTGCGAAGCGAAAGGCGCAGAGCGCGGCCGGAGCTGCACGGGCCGCGGAGGCCCCCTGGGGCCGCTCGAAGACCGCAAAGAGCAGCTCTCGCGCGGGGAAGACCGACACCAGGCGGCTGTAGAGGTCGCCGCGGCCCGCGCCGCCCGCGCACTGCAAGCCCAACTGGATGTAGGACTCGGTGAGCTTCTTGGCGTCGCCGCCCGCGCCGCGGGGCAGGCAGATGCGTGCCAGCAGGCTCCTCGCCTGGCTCTCCTTATCGCCCGCGCGCGCCTCGCTGTTGAGCGCCAGGTACGCGTAAGACGGGGCGCCCGGCGGCGGGTCAGGCGGGTGCAGGAAGGCGCGCACGAAGCCCAGCTTGTGCTGCTCCTTGGCGCCCTGCTTGATCTTAAGAATGTTGTCGTCGGAAGGGTTGAGGTCGAAGGTGAAGAGCTTGGCCAGGTCACCGCGCGCATCCAAGGACCGGATGGCGATCTCGGGCGTGTTCTCAAAGCGGTGGTCCTCCAGGCTGCGGTTGCGCGGGAAGAAGGCGCTGCCGTAGCCAGTGTACGTGGCGCCCACGAGCAGGCGGCTGCCCCCCGCGTCGGCGGCCGGCGGCAGCACCAGCCCCACGGTGGACGCGTTCGGGTGGTTGGCCGCCACATTCAGCATGCTGGGGAACACGGTGACGGGCTCCGCGGGCGGCGCGGCGGGCGGGAAGCGCACGGCCACCGCCGAGATGTTGCCCCGGCGCCTCAGCTGGCAGAAGCCCTGGTAGATGGAGCCACACACGACCACCAGGCCCTGGCCGGGGTCCAGTTGCAGGATCTTGTTGTAGTTGTCGGTGAGGCGCCGCGGGTGCTCGCACGAGGCCTGCGGCAGCTGCGGGGCGTGACACAGCGGGCTGTCGGCCACCGGGCCCACCGCAGCCTCGGCCTCCAGGCTCAGGTTGGCCCCCCA